TTATATTAGTGTTATATTTTTTAAAAATTACAACCACAAGTGCTTTTTTTCAGCAGATGAAAAAGTAAAATTCAGTTATTAACTTAATTTATTTAGCTTAGAGAGAAAATAATTTGTTCAGAGAGTATTAAAGCGAGTCCTGGGAAACACTTATCTCTGTAAAATAACAGGATGAGTGTGGTCATTGGATTCAAGAATCGGAAGAAAAGGTCTTTGCAAATAAATCTGGTGTCTGGTAATCTCTGATCTATCTATAAACTACGTATGTGAGAAGAAATATATATATATATATATATATATATATATATATATATTTATATATATATATATATATATATATATATATATATATATATATATATATATATATATATAAAATTATTGTATATATATATATATATATATATATAGCCCAAATAGCAGAAGTATTGACTAAATATTATTTTGTAGTATGTATACTATTTAAACAATATTCCATTGGTTGCCTCTCAGGATGTGTTTTACAATTTTTCTAAATCATTTCTTAAACATGACATCTTTTTCTTATTGTTATAATTCTAGGTTTTCTTTTTACATTATTAAATGATTACTTTTTACAATGATTTTTTTATAAATATTTTCATATTGATTTTTTATACCATCTTATTGACTTTTAAAATATCCTCTCCCCACTGTTTTGCTATAGTTTAGCTTTTAATGTTGTTTAATCTAGTTATCGATGTTAAAAATAAAAATTATTGTAAATCTTTTGAAGGGAGTTGATGAAATGGTGGGCCCGATATCTTGAAAGCTTAGGTGATATGGAAGCTGCATTGTTTTTTTATAAGCAATCTGAAGACTATCTATCAATGGTTCGCATACACTGCTTCTGTGAAAATATGAAAGAAGCAGAGCAGCTTTGTCAGGATACTGGAGATAAAGCAGCATGCTACCATCTTGCATGTCAATTTGAAATTTCTGGAAATATACCAAAGTCAATCCATTTTTTTTCTCGTGCACAATGTTATTCAAATGCGATTCGTTTAGCAAAGGTAAAAAATTTTAAAAACACTGTAAAATGTAAAATAGTATTTGTTGCATGTTTTATTTCAAAATGTGTAAGTATTTAAAGTTTTATGTAAAATTGTGATGGCTATAATGCCAGTTGTATAAAATTAATGAGTAACACCTATATTGAATATATTTTAAATTTCCAAGTCCATTTTGCTAGGAAAAACAGCTAGATCAAGAGTTAATGAACTTATCCATGCTTAGTACTCAAGAAGATATGCTAAGCTGTGCCCAGTAATATTTTTATTACTTTATTTTTTATTATTTAACAATAATAGTTTTAATAATAAATACATATAAATAAGTATATATATATATATATATATATATATATATATATATATATATATATATATATATATATATATATATATATATATATATATATATATATATATATATATATATATATATATATATATATATATTACTAATGCAGAAAATATTCAACAGATATATCTCAAAATATATTTAATAGATATATTTAAAAAATATATTTATTTAAGTTTACAAAAAACTTTTTAAAAATCTGTAAAAACAGAAAGTCTTTTATATATTTTTAAAGCAAATATACTTACAATACATAAATGTGATAAAGTTAAATATGTAACAAAAAAAAAACGTGACACAAAATTTGTCAATGTTCTTAGAAAAAAATTAACGAAGGTACTTTTTAAAATCAGTTATAACAGCTGCCATCTACAGGACTAAGAATTCAAGCACAACCTATCGTAAAGAAAACCATATTATAATTATTTAAAATATTTACAACCAATAGTGACATTTTAACATGTATTAAAAAGTTATGATTCCATAGTAGCAGAAAGTTATTAATTAAAAAAAATTTGAAAAAATCTCAAATAAAATAGAAAACATATTTTAAAAAATTACTTTATTATGAAAACATTTTGATGAGGGAATCAATTTCAAAATTAATTTCTTTAATGAAAAACTAGTTATATCTCCTTCAAAAAATCTTTTTTAACAATAGACACTAATAAAAAGGTAAGACAAGCTGTCTATCAACACAAAACATTACAACAATAGCATCATGAAAATTACGTAGAGCAATAGCAGATAAGATATTTGTATAATCAAATTTCATTACACTAAATATTACCAGATGCGTTTTCTTTATAATTATAAAAGGCTAAATAACAGAACCAATGGAAATACAGCAGTAACACTTCTTGGCACTAAATGCTGTCACACTTCTGCTAACTACATTGCTTAGCAAGGTTGGCAATCTTGCTCTACAACATTTTACTTTTTTTTTTTTAAGTAGAAATTTAGTTATAAAAAATAGCCAGCTAGTATAACAGTCTAGCTCTGCACACACTATAAGTCACTTGTATGGCAAGTTTAACAACCTAGTTCTATACGCACTACAAGTCACAACAATTGCTTGGCTAATTTAACAGGCTAGCTCTACACGTACTGCAACTCACAACATTTGCTTGGCCTGTTTTATGACCTTGCTCTACACAATTGCTTGTAGATGATAACTTTAGAAACTTTTTCAAATCAGATATAACAGCAAGCAAAGCAGCAAAAACTTTTTATTTATTATTAAATTTTTTTATCAAAATTCGATATTTAATGGTAAAAAAATATTTATTTATAAATTAAGTTTATATGTAAATAAAGCATTACTTGTATATCGTATTGTAACATTACTTGTATATCATGTTGTAAATCATTCAAAAAGCTTTTAGAATTTTAGATTTTTTGAAACAATATTAGTTCATTCTATAAAAAAAATCTTGCAATTCATGAATTTCTTGCTAATTTGGTTAGATAAAGCAATAAAATAATATTGAAATAAATAAAAAGTCCAAATGATAATCAAAAATTTATATAAAAAATAACTAAAAGTTATAACATACATATCTGTGAACTATGATTTTTTGACTTTATATAAAGACTTTAAATAAAGGACATATAACATTGTGTAATATTTTTCACCTACCATACCTTGAATGGGATGTTTAAAATTTTGAAAAACAAACTTTTAAATCCTCTAGTTCTTGCACATGCATCATATAGTTGCATGTTGCCCATGAGAGAAACACATTTTTCTTTTTAGATATTCACCAACTATCAAATATCTGACTTTTATTAATTGTCATTGAATATACCAGGAAACTGACAGGAAACTGACAGGAATCCTCTGCATTAGTTTAACTATTTTAAAGAGCACAAGCTTTCATTAGAGTGCCATTGCATAACCCATTATGCAATGGCACTCTAATGAAATTTAAAAAAATTAGAGTGCCATTGCATAATGGGTGTTAAAACTACATTAGTGAATGTTAAAATCACACATTTAGAATAATGGGTTTTAAAACTACATTAGTGGGTGTTAAAATCACACATTTAAAATAATCATCTTGTTCAGCATCTCCAAATATCTTTTCAACAGTGGAGTCATTTTTTCTAATAATGCACTGATGCAGTATTTCATTGCATCTTTTAAAAGAATCCTCCTTTATTACAGGTATTGTTCCACTACCAGGTTTTAATAGAAATTGGGAAAATTCTCCTTTTCCATCATGTACTCTCATATTTTCAGTTTTTTCTTTTCTCAACAGGTAGCATCAAAGTCACCACCAAAAAGAGTTAATTTTTCTCTAAACAAAAAGTCGTTGTTGCAAACATATATATTCTTTTAAACATTTATTTAAGCCTCTACAATTTAACTAATTAGGTTAACAATAGGTTTACCATTCAAGTCAAAAATACTTATAAAAACATAGAGATTATATGTTTGTCTGTGGTTTTCCATTTGTTTTTTAAGGTAAACTTGAAAACTATATTGCTTAGAGAAAAAGTATAAAATTAACTTTGTTTATAATCAATCTGAAAGGGATCTTACAAAAAAAAATAAAAATAATCAATTTAATAAGGATTAATGGTCATTTTAGTGAGAGAAAAAAGAAGTAAACGTTAAAAAAAAAATTGCATTGCAATTTATTTAAAATTAATTGACACCAAATTAATGTGTACTTGACATCACAAAAATCAGTATTTAGTAAAGATAAAAGTTTTTAATATTAAATTTATTAAGAAAAAATTTTAAATTAAATAAATAAAAATTTTTATTATTAAATTGTTTTAATAAGGAAAATTTTTTTAGTTAAAATGCCCAATATTGTTAAAAAAATAATAAAGCAATGTCATTCAGTATATTTTAGTCTAAAGTATTGAAGAAGATGAAATAATTTTAAAACATATTTAATGATTTTTAATATATATATTTATTTATTTTGAAAAAAAAGTTAATTTTTAAAAAAAATAATATGCACGTACGCGGAAGGGGGTAGGGGGATTTAAAGCATACAGGTTTGTTCAAGGGGGGAGGGGGTCTAAATCAGTGGTTTTACTGCGTACGTACTTTATGGATGCCCGCTAAAACAAAAAATATAAATAATAAAATGAACTGAATTTACTAAAAAGAGCTTCAGCTTCTTCCAATTTTTCTGAAAAATAAAACAATACTTGCTTGAAATGTTCTAAAAAAGACTGAAATACTAAAAAAGGAACACTATATTTTACCAGACATTTTAGTACTATCTTCTACAAAATATTACAGTATAAAAAAAACTAAACAGACTAAAAAAATTAGAAAAAAAAAAACAACCAACAAGCATTTATTTATTAAAACTACTTAACTAAAATTAAACTAAAATTAAATAAAGAAAAACAACTTGAAAAGTGTCATATTTGTAATGAAAAATAAGACTGTCAATTGATAAAATCAATCATTATATTAAACTAAACACCATTTAGCTTTTTAAAAGTAAAGCTAATTTTTTTAAATTAGTTAATTCTTTTAATTATGGCTGTAATTCCAATAACTGAACAAATGTAATTTTTAAAACATGTTATAAATAAAACTCACATGCTTGCTAGTTTAGATTAAAGTTTTATTTAATTTTTTTATATTTTGTTCATTTATGTCATATTGACAACTTTTTCTTGCAGATAAAATATTTCAATTAAAAACTATTATAAAAATCTTTTAAAATTAATATCTAAAATTAATAACTCAAACATTAGTTATTTTATTTTTTTAATTTAAACTTCTTTAGCATATTGTTTATATAAAAAAATTATTATTTTACAAAAGTAATAAAATTACTTTTTTAAAAGACTGCTTAGAAATATCTTGAGAGTTATTTAAATATTACCAAACAAAAAAGATTTTAGCTTAACATAAATAGCATAGCCTAACGTAAATTCGTTTGTCGCATATGTGAAATGCACATTTCTGATCCTAGTCAGTGCTCAGTTTCTCCACATTCACCCTTAAGTTCTTCTAATCATGGTTTGATCTCTATAAAACTATTATCTCATTCTTCTTCATCATCAGAATCCCCTAGCAATGTAACTTTTTTTTAATCAATATTCTTTCCGTAACTTTACTTGTGATGGCCCTTAAGTAGAAATCTTTTGTCTTCCTGCTGACAAATTTGCTTCTTAAATGACTTTTTGGCTTAGGCTGGCATAGAATTTTCTCTTTTGACAACTCAAAAGCCTTACTTATAAGTAAGGCTTTTGAGTCTTTAATTAACAAACACTTTATTTCTCATCTTGAGTCTAATAATTTACTTTCTAATGATTAATATAGATTTCGATCTTCTCATTCTACTGCTGATTTGTTAACGGTAATAATTGAACAGTTTTATCCATTATATGGATGTAGAGAGGTAAGGGTTATCGCTCTCGACGTTTCTGAAGCCTTTGCTAATGTTTGGCAGTCTTCTCCATAACTTCTCTTCTTACAGTGTATCAGGTAACATTTTTAAGATTATTGAACCCTTCCTTACCAATCGTAGTATAAAAGTTTTCCTCAATTGACAGCACTCTTCATGTCCTGTAACTTCAAGGGTTCCTCAAGGTTCAATCCTTGACCCTTTTTTTTTAATTTACATTAACCATCTCCCAGAAATTCTAAACTAAAGTCTTTTTGTTCGCTAATGATACTACCATTTATTCTTGTCTTGATAAGAAGCCAACACTCTCTCAGTGGCTGATGAAGATAAAACTAAAATTTTTTAGCTGATTATTATTGCAGCAATCTAGATCTTCCTATATTTATGAACAGTAATGTACTGGAGGCATCTACCCTTTGTCTTCCCTAACTCTTACTTCTGATCTTTCTTGAAAATCATATATCAAATTGATTGTAAAATTAGCATCTGCTAAGGTTGCATCTCTTTATTGTACTTGCCACTTTCCTACTTCAGATTCTATTCTTTATACCTATAAATCTCAAATTCGTTCTTGTATGGAATACTGTTGCCATATCTGTAGCAGATCTTCAAATGAGGCTCTTTTTTTTTTTAAGACAAGTGCAAAAACGCATTGTAAACATAGTTGAACCTGCTCTTGTAGTCAACTTTCAACCATTGCCACATCTTCGTAATATAATGGTTATTGTTCTAAAGAGTTAGCGTCTCTTGTGCCATCTACTAAAATTTACTCTCGTGTTACTTATCATTAAATTAAGTGTCATCCTTTTACTGTAAATATTCCTAAGTGCTCCAAAAATTCTTGTTGGTATAGTTTTTTTCCTCAAACATCAGTTTGAGGAAAAAAACTAGTCCAACAATGTATTTAAATTATTGACCAATCATATTCTATGTATTTAAATTATTGACCAATCATATTCTATGTATTTAAATTATAAATATGTATTTAAATTATTGACCAATCAATTTCTTTTAAAGGTATTTTGAAGAAAAAGGAGGTATGGATGATAAAGCTATTGCACTGTATCACAGGGTTTGTAGTCTATTTCTTTTTCTTTTTTTTTTTTTCTTTTTTTTTTTTTTATATATTTACTTTCTAAAGGTAGAGGGAGGTGCACTTTTTTAAATTATTGTAGCCCTCTCTCAACCTTAAACTTTTGTTACACAATAATAAACAAACAAGTCTGCTGTACTGAGAATTGTTTTAAGCACTGTACTTCTAGGTATTTGGCAGACTAGAACTCTGTTCATCCTTTATGATGGAAGCATTCTACTACTATATTAATAAGTTAAATATATGACATTAAGTTTAACTTGATGATCTGAAAAATATAGGCGACACAAGCATGTAAGTACAAATAATAATAAAGCATGGACAACACAGTTTTGCAAGTACACAAAGAAAACATTTAAATTTAGCCCTCAATTAATTGATATGTATCTTACATACTATTTTTACTTTATACATGTTTAAAAAAGACATATGCTTTTGCATGTGAGACTTTTTTTTTACAATTCAACATTTCACTGTTAAACTTGTAATAATTTATTTTCATAACAAGCAATTTTTAAATTTCACAGCATGCATCTTATGAAGACTTGCATTTTAGGAGGAATTTTCATAAAGGTTAAAGAAAAATCAAGATTTTCTTTTGAAAATTTAGCGGTAGCAAATTCATTATCTTCATTTTCATAATTATAGCTGCTAGTTATTCTGATCCATCATCTCTTAAATGCATTCTATTTAATCTTACATGAATTACAATATTTTTACAATATTAATTACATACCCTCAGATATATCAATACCAATGCTTTTCAATTCACCAGAAAAATTTTAATGTAAATAAATCAGTTTTGCAAAATTTAAAGCAAATAAATCAGAAAATCCCTGCAGTTTTTTTTTTTTTTTTTTTTTTGTTTTATTTTTTTTTTTTTTTTTTGAGTTTGTCACATATAAAACCATAGAAAAAATTCAGAATTATATTTAGAGGAATCTCATTACATACTTTTTTATGTACAAGGCTTTTGAATTTGATATAAAAACTTTAATTTTGTATGGTTTTGTAATTGTTTTTGAATTCTACTTTCCCATAAAAATTGTGACTAAAAGCAAAAAAAAAATGGTTAATAAATTGAAAGCAATCAAAAGCATGAAACTGGTAATGAAGTTGTATGAATGAATGATTAAATGAACCGTGAAAATAAACAATGAAGTACTTGATAAAAAGCTTTTTTTTATCCATTTATTCAACAATAAAACTGTTACAAGCTCATTTACAATTTTACGAAATCAAGTTCGATGTCACTCTTCTAGATTAACACTAGTCATTAGAGTGACACCTTAATTACATAAAAAAATGAAAGAACAACAATTAATAAAAGTGGTTAAAAAAAAAGAAAAAGAACAAAAATAGTGTTTAAAATGGCAAGACTAATAACAGAAAAAAGAAAATAAGTGGATGAGTTGATATGAGAGATAATGAATGATACATAACAGTAATACAAAAATAATTCATAAGTAAGATTTATAATGCAATAAATTTTGCAAGCATGTTGTTTTCTCAACTTTTTGTTGTAGATGGGGTTCAAATTATTAAGTTAATAGTTTGCCACTGCCAATAATTTCATAATTTCAATTAATTTAACAACTAAACCATCATTTATAGATGTGAATATTTGACATGTTACAACTTACAAAAATAATAAAGTACAAAAAAACTTTATTCTTTTAATAAGCTATTACAAGAAAAAATTTGTAATTTCCTAAACGTTTAAATCATTTTTTTTTTAAATCCTGAAACATCAAACATTTTAAAGAAAAATCAGCTATTTTTTCAATATCTTAAAACAGAAGAAAGCTGTTTTGTGAAAAAGCTAAAACACCAAACAGTTGCTTTTTCAAAATATTTTCAGAAACCCTATTTACCCTCTCTTACCACTCTCTATTTACTTTCTTCTATTAACCCTCTCTTACCTCCCTCTGTTTAACCTCTTTTACCTCCCTCTATTTACCCTCTCTTACCTCCCTTTATTTACCCTCTCTTACCTCTCTCTTTTTATCCCCTCTTACTTCCTCTATTAAACCTTTCATACCTCTAAGGAATGTTTAGTACCAAAAAAATGGGAGTGTTATTTTTAATGAGATTTTAATGAGTTTTTAAACTAACTCAAAAATATTTCTCTGAGTATCAAAAACCAATTTTAAAACACCTACTGACATTTTTGGTAAAACAATGAAATTCAGCTGTTACCAATAATACTTATAAGAAATTGTAATATAGAAGTTTTAGCTAATATGATTGTTACATTTTTGTTTATTTAATATTGTGTTTTTAATTTATTCTGATTCAGGGAGGTAGTGTTTCAAAAGCTATTGATCTTGCCTTCAGTTCAAAGCAGTTTGGTGCTCTGCAATTAATATCAGATGATCTTGATGAGAATGTTGATCCACAAGTACTACATAAATGTGCAGATTTTTTCATAGAAAACGATCAGTTTGACAAAGCAGTCAACCTTCTTATTGCTTCAAAAAAGGTGAAAAAGTAGATTTTTTAGAAAATTATAATTTTCATTTGAGTTATTTTTTATTTCATCATTTATTCTTATTTAGTTTGAAGAAGCACTTCGAATGTGCCTTGATCATGATATCCAAATAACAGAAGAAATTGCAGAAAAAATGACTTTTCCCAAAGAACACTCTGATGCAAAATATCGTTTATATTTACTTGAAAAAATTGGAGAATGTGCGTACAAACAAGGATCTTTTCACCTTGCTACAAAAAAATTTACTCAGGCTGGAAATAAGATGAAGGTTACTGCATTAAATTTTTATTACTCTAACATTTTTCTGGTTTTGGTTTTGTTATATGTTTATAATTTATTTTTTAGGCTATGAAATCGTTATTAAAATCAGGAGATACAGAAAAGATAGTGTTTTTTGCTGGTGTATCAAGACAAAAAGAAATATATGTAATGGCTGCAAACTATTTGCAGTCTTTAGATTGGCAGAAAGATCCAGAAATTCTTAAGAATATCATTAGTTTTTATACTAAAGGCCGTGCTCTTGAATCATTATCAACATTTTATGAGTCTTGCGCTCAGGTTTGCTTTTTTACTCTACAAGTATATCAGGGGAGAGTGGGGTGAGAATGAATTTTTATTTTCATGTGTTTTTTTCATAAAGTAACATAAAAT